TATATAATCGGCATCGTTGTGGAACAGCTATGTGCAAAGCGGCCCTTGACCTGAATCTCACTTGAAATCTGTACTGTATGGTAAATACTGGTAACTTTTACTGCAGTAACTTTATCCAACTCAGTGTCGTTTGGTTTGCAGTAAAAATACTGCACACTTTTGTATGTTTTCTGTTGTGTGCTTCTTGTGTGAAACTCACGCGCATTGTGTTGTTTTCAATCAGATTTGCTACCATGTCCGACAGAAAAGCCGTTTCACACAAATTGCAGCATGCTGGTTCCGAATCTCTATCCACCGGTGTCAGCTAAAAGGTGGCGTCTTCTTTTATTCTGCAAACTACACATGGGCGGCTTTACTGTATAAAAACAACAGCGCGCTCTACGATTTCAGACGCTAAAGTGTGTGCTATTGCTACGAGTCAACAGTTTGATTGACACGCCACTCAGCCTGTCAGCTACCGCCTTATCGACGAAGTGACCTATCATTGCTATGGACTGCACTGATAGACAGCCACGTACATAAAATAGTTTATTTTCATTTCATTGTGCGTGTGTGTGTGTGTAAGATCAGGCAGGAAATTAAAATTAGCTGAAGACTAAATTTAAAACAAAGCATCATTACTTTTGAAATTTAAGCAATTTATTCACTAGCCGCCTTCAAATAAATTTAACGTTGCTTTGACAAAAGGGGAATGTCTACAGTATGCTTTAAGAAATATTTTTTTAGAATCTACAATTAGACTAAATGCATATTGATCAAGTCAAATAAGTTGCATTTCTACTGGCATGATAAGACAAAGTGCAGAACAAATAAATTGAGTTGCCAGTTGAACTTCCTATACATTTCTAGTAGAAGGCTTTCAGTCTTTTACCGTCATAATGCCATGAAGTGTTTACACTAAGAAGCAGTGAGCAGAGCCTGTTTGACTGAGAGGCACTTCTGTCTGCCAGCCTCGCAGGGTGAGCTGGCAAGAAGAAGGCATCTCTGCTGCCCACTGTTAATCAGCAACACATATGTAGGTTTGTGCACAAGATTCTGAAAACACAAGCCCACACAGAAGTATAGCACATTGGCACTGCCACAAGTCCAAACAGTTTCAGGACAGGAGGCAGAAACACTGTAGTAGATCTGTGTGTGTATATATATATATATATATATATATATATATATATATATATTCATATATATATTCTTTAATTATTGAGCAGATATAGAAAGCCACTCGACGGCAAATGTTAGATGTTAAATGTTAGAACTCTTGCCTTTTCAGCAGGTCGATCACTGGGTTTCCTCGTGTGACCTCTTGTTGATCTTTCTGTATGGAGTTTGCATGTTCTTCCCGGTTCATGCTCAGTAGGACACTCTAAATTGACCCTCGGTGTGAATGTGAGCGTGAATGGTTGTCTGTCTCTTTATGTGGCTCTGGGATGGACTGACCGAGGCGTACCCCACCCTCGACTGTTGGATCCAGCGCCTGCAGTGAACCTGCAAAAAAAGAAGAATTAAATAATGGATGGATGGACTATATTTGACTATATCAAAATATAGATCTTTTTTTTTAAATCCCTATTTTCTAAAAAACATACAGAAACAGTCTTTATGAGCCTTGTCACCAACACCCAGCCCTGGCCCACAGACATTATGCTATTCTTGTTGGAAGAGTGAGTCATTGAAAAATGGGGGCTGCAAATTAATGACTCATAATAGATGTTGGTCCCCAGAAATTCTTCTGTTGATTGAACCAAATATTAGGTCTGCATTATAATTCTTATTCTTGAAATAAAATGCAGAAATTTCAGATCAGCAAACACACATCTGTGATGTAGCATTTGGTATCTGTTAGAAAGAAAAAGTCATTGACCTGTTTGTGATAAAACAATTTAGATATATTTTTAAACTGGATAAAATGTCATGGCTGTGTCAGGCTGTAGTGGGTGAAGGCAGTTGTCAGGGTTGGTGCCATCACGGTGACATAAGGTGAGTAATGAGAAAAGAAAAGAAAGTTTGAGATGGTTTGAACAAGTGCTGAGAAGAGGGAAATATTTGATGTCAGAGATGAAGCTACGTGGCAGAAGACCCCAGAGAAGGTTCACGGACGTACAGTATTGGAGGGGGAACATAGACATGATTGGTCTAATAGTAGGAGAGGGGGACGGGGGGAGGCAGGAGATGAAGGCAGGTGATCCACTGTGGGGACCAGAGAAGAAAGTGTTTGGTGTTTTTTATGACGAATAAAGAAAGTTTTAGAAGAATACAAGAACACAAGTTTTAACATATAAAATAAAATATTTTGTCTTTTATCAAAAAGTCTAAAATGCTCAGTTTTGGTTGTTCTGCATGTCAAACAAACAGAGCTGCTTTGGTTTATTAAATCACCCCTCAAATGAAAATCACATTTTCCTGAACGTGTCTGAGGCCAGACAGTCGTCTTGGCTCCCAGTGTTGCTGGGCTGATGGGAGGCAGACAGCTGGTTGCCTGGCAGTAGCAGATGGAGTTGCGCAGGTTTCAGAGCCCAGAGTCACTGTCCCTCACTAAATGTGTCATATCGGTCTTGTTTTTCGCTGCAGGGCTTGACAGCGAAGCCGTTTCACAATGTGTAAAGTATGTGGTGGGCCTCAAATATAGAAATACTAAAGAAGTCATAAATCTACCTACTGTTATTTGTATTTCTGTATTATTATTATATATGTATATACAGTATATTGCCATATGTAGGGATGTTGATTTTCACTAAATTAATCATGATTAATCAGTAGTGATTGTGATTAATCTTAAAATAATGTAATTATTTGACAGTGTTAACATTTTGATATTATGTTAAGCAGCATGGTGGTGGCAAGAGGAGCTGGCCTTCAAAAAATAACTGCTCTTGTATTAGTAAATATACAGCTTATCTTATCGTTGAGAAAATGCAGCTTCATATACACACACCTGATCTAGTCAACAATGACAGATTCAGGGCTGGATATAAACAATAGTTTTTATATGAAACATACAATAGTCTGCAAAACGTAAAGAGATGAAAAAAACAGCTAAAAGTTAGGGTTATGATATGATAGAACTTAAGCCAGAGTAGTGGTCACATAAAGCTATAAAGCCAGAATGGCTGCAGGCCTGGGCTTTGCACTTTCTTGACGTAGGTGAAAACAATAACCAAAGGTTTACTGAACTTTAATAATAGCAGCACAGACCTGAGCTCTCGCTCTCTGGATGGACAATATCTCTCTGCCAATAACCACAAGAAGGGCATCAAATCATATGCAGCAAAATCAGATGAAAGAAAATCTTCTGCGAACAAAGGATCCTCTCTGCCACCATATGCTCTTTTTTCTGGTATCTATCACGACTCTACTGTAGAAACCTTCTTTTTTGAGAGGTTGCTAGGGAAACCATAATTAGAGAGCAGCACGCTGGCACTCTGTCTAATTAGAGTCTGGCTGTGGACCAGAACTAGAATTGCCAACTGGTCACTGGGTTTTATATTATATATCATAGACAACACACAATGAGAAAGAGAAAGAGAGGGAGAGGGAGAGGGGGGGGGAGAGGGAGAGGGGGGGGGAGAGGGAGGGGGAGAGGGAGAGGGGGGGGGAGAGGGAGGGGGAGAGGGAGAGGGGGGGGGAGGGGAATGCGGGGGGGGGGGGGGGGGAGAGGGAGGGGGAGAGGGAGAGGGGGGGGGAGGGGAATGCGGGGGGGGGGGGGGGGGGAGAGGGAGAGGGGGGGGGAGGGGGGGAGGGGGGGAGGGGGGGAGGGGGGGAGGGGGGGGGGGAGGGGGAGGGGGAGGGGGAGAGGGAGAGGGGGGGGGAGAGGGAGGGGGAGAGGGAGAGGGGGGGGGAGAGGGAGGGGGAGAGGGAGAGGGGGGGGGAGGGGAATGCGGGGGGGGGGGGGGGGGGGGGGGGGGAGAGGGAGAGGGGGGGGGAGAGGGAGGGGGAGAGGGAGAGGGGGGGGGAGGGGAATGCGGGGGGGGGGGGGGGGAGAGGGAGGGGGAGAGGGAGAGGGGGGGGGAGAGGGAGGGGGAGAGGGAGAGGGGGGGGGAGGGGAATGCGGGGGGGGGGGGGGGAGAGGGAGAGGGGGGGGGAGAGGGAGAGGGGGGGGGAGGGGAATGCGGGGGGGGGGGGGGGAGAGGGAGGGGGAGAGGGAGAGGGGGGGGGAGAGGGAGGGGGAGAGGGAGAGGGGGGGGGAGGGGGGGAGGGGGGGGGAGAGGGAGGGGGAGAGGGAGAGGGGGGGGGAGAGGGAGAGGGGGGGGGAGGGGAATGCGGGGGGGGGGGGGGGAGGGGGGGGGGGAGGGAGAGGGAGAGTGATTGCCGGAGTAAGAGCCATCATCACAGTAACAAACAGCTTTCTCGGTGGAGTAGTGTCTTGGCTGACCTCCCATGAATGACTGAACGGTTAAAACATTGCTTGGCCAGAGGGAACCTTGTTGTTAACAGCTAATTAATTTACATTACATTAAGTCTTGACTGCTCATTGGACACAGGCTGCCCCCCAAGTGTCCCTTTTGCCGAAATAAATCTTTAATGAAATGCTGCTCGTGTGCAGCACATGTAAACACCCTTCAGTCACGTTAATATAACAGGTTATGGACATTTAATGGCTGCGTCCATGTCACTGTTCCACTCCATCACTCGTCTCATCCATCTTACCCCCCACATGCTACAGAAGAGGGAATTGAATCAACAGTGGAATTAGGCCCATTAGAATAATCCATTTCCCCTGGCAGGCAATATGAGGATGTTTCATCGTTATTAATAATGTCCAGGCCAGGTCCAAAAACAGCTCCCTGATGACAGAGATGGAGGAGGCCAGTCAAATTAATCTGAAAAACTCACCACAGGCCTCGGGCTGCTGCTGCCCCTGCTGCTCCTGCTCCTGCTGATGTCGCCGCTGCTGCTGCTGATGTCGCTGCTGCTGCTGCTGATGCCACTGCTCCTGCTCCTGCTGCTGCTCCTGCTCCTGCTGATGATGCTGCTGCTGCTGCTGATGATGATGATAATGCCACTGCTCCTGCTGCTGCTGATGCCACTGCTGCTGCTGAGTCTCAAAGACATTGTATAAAGATGGTTTACACTGCATAAGGAAAATCCGTACACGGAAAACTTATTGACCGGTACTGAACGCACAGTGCACTATGACACCGATGTATTAACTCACTCCCCAGTGTATTCATTCACTACCAAGAATATAGCATGCAATTTATCATTTCCATCAAGTGTGATGTATTTCCCACACTGCTATAAATCATGGTCTGGTACTGCCCACAGCATGTTTTACATCACACCAAATACTTAGATATACTGTAGTACTGTTTTCTCTGTTTATTTCAAGTGTGTCAATACTGTAGGAAATCCCTGTTGTTGTGTCATCTCTTTTGTCTCTGCTTACAGTTCAGAAATACGTCTGAAGTGGAAGTCGTAGGTCAGTGGGTTCGGCGGTATCCCATTATTTTCACAGCCACTTAAAGCAAGTCCTGAAGCCAGATAAATCTGGAGGGCTGCATTAGGGAGGACAGAGTGTGGTTGGGTTTACCCTCTGTGACGACCCCTGACGTAGACAACTGGAGAAAGTGATTCTTCTTTTTCATTTTACACTACATGCCATTTTATAACCCAGGTACAAGTGCGGTCACTTTCACTGTCCTTCAAGTGAAGGTTGGTAAGTGTAGTGTCAGCAAATACATCAGGTTACAAGTCATTTACCAGACCAATGACCAAATTCAGATTGGTGAAGGATTACCGTAGAGCAGGGATCTGAAGCTCTCAGCTCTGAACATGATAAAAAGTGGAAAATAAGAAAATTAGTAAAAGCCAGATACCAGACATTAGGATGGTTGATACACCAGTGAAGGAGCAGACAGGGGTGGATGGAGTCATATAATCCATCATCAGTGGTCACCAGAGTGGAATATCTGCCACAAGAGGAAGAAAAATTAGTTACTTGAGCATGTTATTCAAAAATATGTTAAATGGCAAATTCAAAGGATGTAGGAAAATAAATTATATTTTATGAAAAAAGTAATAACCTGAACACACACACCCACACACACCCAACATGCACCCAGAGTAATGTTCTCGCTGTTTTATTAACAACAGAACTGAATAGAAATAGTTGTGATCAACGTTGGCAAAAATGTTGGAACAAAACTCAGGAGAGCCACAAAAATGATGCTTTATTATTTCAAATATTAAAGTGGTGCAAATAACTGCAGCCGTGTTGCTACAGTTAATTTAAGGAATGACAGAGAATTGTATTTATTTTTAGATGATCATCGTCACCACACTGACATAGGAACTAGCTTCTAACCCTGACAGTGTCAGACTGACACTGACATAGGAACTAGCTTCTAACCCCAGAGTAAGAGTTTGGTTTGAGGTCTGCAGCTGTGGTTCTTAATTGCAGGCTGATGTTTCACCTCGGAGTTCGACCTCCAGCAGCACTTTTAATATTTCATGACCAGAGCAGAACAACACTGCTGGTCTGTTAAAGTCCACGACTCTCCACAGCACTTTCCTCTGGGTGACCTCTGAGGGAACAGTCTTTGCACAGCATGTGGTAAAAATCAAATTAAAATATTTTTAAAAAATGGGAGACTAGAACTTGTTGTTTGCAAATGTGTATTGTATAGGATACACTTTTAACTTTTTTAAGTGTTTGGTGGCAGCAGGTATGTAAATGTTTTGTAATAAAAATGTTCAATGACTAACCAACTATTGTTATCTGTATTTTATGTGTGTAAGATTAGCAGGTCATTTATTGGAGTCAATATTCAACATGCTTTACCTGTTCTTTTCTGCCATCATTGTAATATAATTTCACTGATTAAACATTAAACTTTTTTTTCCTTCTTCTTTAGGCAGTAGCAATCGATCCTCATTGACCTTGGCTATGATCAATGACCACAGGTAATTAAAATGAAAGACTGGGGTCATTGTATGAAGTCTATTAGCTGATAAAGACAAAGTACAACAATACATTTAATTACATACATTTTAACAATGTTTGTAACATGTTCTCGTGGACCTGCATCGTTAATCATTTAATATTACTTTAGAAATACTTCAGTGATATACAGTACTCTATGCTGGAGCAAAAAAAAGGTCCAAAACCTAAAGAATTATCATTAACCTTTCTGTTTTGTACAACTTGTTCACTGAATCAGATTAACAAGAAAATATGTTCAATGAAGAAACAAGCTGCAGTTCAGTCAAAAGGGAATCAGTCAAAACAGGAGTTCGTTGGTCAGTGAGTCAGTCAGGGAATCATTGAGAAAAACGTTTAAGTGGACAATACTTTACACAGGTAATATTGTGTAGTCTTTTTACGCCTGATTACTTTACTACGTGTGTGTGTGTGTGTGTGTGTGTGTGGCACACTTGTGTATCAGGTTGTCAGGGCTGTCCCACTCTTAATGGTTTAATGGGCACCCTGTGGTGCCTCTCCAGCCCCCTGGAGCGGGGCACGCTCAGAGTGTAAGGGAGCACAAAGGCGCAGCCTTGTCTCAGGAGAGGAGTGTCTTTGTAACGGGGGCCCATTGCTGTGCTGACTGCTGCTGGCCCCTTGGTGATTACCCTCCCCAGGGGGGAGACTGGTATTGTGGGCCCTGAGACTCACGACTTCACCTTTACATACCCTCCTGCTGCGCCTCACCAGGGGGTTGAAATGCACCCCTGTCCATCACCACTAGTTGTTCACCAACAGTCCTTCAAGCAAGTCTTCACTGTTCACGTCTTTTAGGACTTGACAAACATCAAGTCGTGTGTAACATACAAAATTACCACACTTATATGTTGTCAAGCAGAGTTTAACCCTCCTGTTAGCCTCAAATGTTCAAACATCTGCTCTCCTTGGGGTCAATTTGACCCCAGACATTTAAATCTCAAGAAAAAGGATTATATTTCAAAATGTTACTCAACTTTTTGTGTCAGATACTTCAGGTTTCTTCATTGTTAACATAAAAAAGCCCTTCCAATATAACAGCTTTTTTCTACACAAAATCACACATCTGATCACAATCATTGGGGCAAATATTTTTTTGCCCCAACAGTGTCCATATGTACTGCCTGTATCTGAAAATACCACGACTCTGTTTATATTTCTCCATCTGTATGACCTACATATAAATATATTTATGTCTATATTAAGGTTTCAACAACATCACACACACACACACACACACAGTCAAGTACAGTATGCAGATCCAGTCCCACACATTCTGCCCACTAACTTCTTCCTTCCAGTCTGTGATCCAGTGTGGACTGATGTTCTTACAGTGATAGTAGCCGTGACCTGCAGCAGAGGAGCAGACCTCTCCTCACCTGGCTGCACGAGATTGGAGGGTGGGGAGGTCACAGAGCTCCACTGGCTGAACTAACTAGGGTCACAATGCGGAGGACCGTCCCTGCTGTATTGGAGCTGGACGCCCACCTTTGAATTGTGTTGCCATGGAAACCATGGTTGACTCTGCACATTTCTTGTCTGAGTCTTAGCAGATCTTAAGAACCGTGTTCACAGAACACTAAACAAGAACACATGCAGTCCATATGTACTAGTTTATTTTGTGTGTACTGTAGTGTGGTACCACTTCCACCATACAACGGAAATTCAATTAAAAGGAAACCTGTACTACTTTGTGATTTCTGATGACATGTGAGGACAATGTTACATCAAATAAAATCGATGGAGTCATCATGACACACATCAGGTCAGGTCTCAGGTTTTGAACCTTTAAATCAAAGATAAATCTCAAATCTTTCACTATTGGTCAATTTGTCCCCAGTCCTCGTCACTCCTCAACACCCCTTACCCTACATTGAAGCTGCTTCTTTATTCTGCGGCACACGAGCCATTCTCCTGACGCCTCGATGTTTACGGCCACAAAATTCTCATCTCATCTTCTTCTCCACACACTAAATCAAATTCTCCCTCCGAACTCCACGAGTATAATTAGATCCCCAGCTTTTGCGAGGACATGTTTAATTTTGCTATTGGTGATTGAGGATACTCTGTGGTGTCTGGCTGTCCACCGCAATCAATAAGCTCTCTGAGCGCTGTCTGGAAACAATGTTAGTGTAAAGGTCTGCTTAATGTGAAAATCAATGATGGGAGCGTTTTAGCTGGAAACGTTGACATGAAAATGGCCAATTCTTTTTTAACCTGTTGTTTTTTTATTAGGCCTTCTGTCCATTTACTGTAAGTGTCATCCACGCACCTAGCAGACTATGGTATTAGAGCTACATATAAACAACAGTAGCAGTGAGAGTCATTTATATGATATCAATTGTGCTGCTCCAGCTCTGGTTCCTGGAGTCCAGTAGTGTTGATCACACACCTACTAATAGGGACACATTTGTCTCAAAGTTTTAAGCACAGACTCCAGATTTTTTCTGCAGCGCTTCACTGAAGCTGAAAGGGAAATACATTAAACGCCATTGAAGGTAATATTACTTGGTTCAAATAATAGGTTAGGCTGCCTTAATGTCACATCATATTGATTTGGCAAATAGACCCAACACTTTTTAAATGAGTTGAAACTGAATCCATCTCCACTCACCAATGGTTAGTTGGTCAAATTCTGCTCCATGGACTTTTGCTTCAAGTCACAGTCGATGATTTCCTGTTAATGACAGTCATTGTAAGTTTTTGAAAGTTCTGATCACATATGCTCATATACTGTATGTTCTGTCCATACATTATTAATACAAATAATGTGCAGATCTGCTGTAACAGGCTGCCTCTATGAGGTGCCAAGTATGTCCCTCCTCTGGGACTGATGCACTGTAAGGCAGATGTGATAAGCACTGTATTATGGAACTACTAAAAAGTTATTGACATTTGACCCTGACGTGATTTGAACACGCAACCTTCTGATCTGGAGTCAGACGCGCTACCGTTGCGCCACAATGTCCTCTGTGGGAGTGTTACAATGGTCGGTTAGTGTCTCATAACATAACGTCTGCATCCACTCAGATAAATTCTACAGTGAAGTGGAGGCTTTGTCTGAAATCACGTACAGATAAAATTAGCAGCTGACAGATGATAAGGGAGAGAGGAGAGAGAGAGAGAGAGAGAGAGAGAGCGCAAGAGAGAGAGCGACACATTTATGTCATGTAGTCCAGACGGCAGTCACATTGAGCACAGTCATATTGCCAAACAAGACACACTTGTGATGCATCATGTAATTCTGGAGGAGTTCCCACTGTAAAGCAGGCAGTGTTTCAGAGGCTGTAGGTGCTGCAGCCTGCAGAGACTCTGATATGAACTATTTATGACACTTCCATTACAGCCACAGTGTTTCTTCTAGCTGTTTAACAGCTGTGGAAACCTGAGGGAGGACAGACGTACTTAAAATCAGCCTCTGGCAGCAGTGTGTGTTTAAATCACAGACACAGCTGCTGCAAGACAGACCAAAACAATTTTTTGAAAAGTGAGAAATACTTTACGTTGCCCTTTACAGTTATAAACTAAGTACTAAACGAGGACTGGAACATATAAATCAAACTGAGTTGATTTACCGCAACGGGAGTTTTGGGGCTTTGGACTTTGTGATAACTTTACACCAGAAGAGAGGAAATGGAATTGTTATGGCTAATCCATTGTTAATGGCCTATCACAGCTTTCCCACAGCTTTAATAGCGGTCTTTTACTGGGAAGCGGAGAACAGAGAGTATGAGGCTGAGAAATGAACCAAGAGGGAAAAACATTATCTCTAATTGCCTATTAGAGGCGATTAGAAATGAGGTTGACGTTGATGAGAGGGTCGTAGGGTCATAACCCAACCCACCTGATGACTGTTTACCTCCATGTCCTGAGTCAAGCCTTTGTCAGATGCAACATCCACTCAGGGGTTTTCCAAAATACATTAAAAGGAACATGCAGGTGAAGGTGTCGGTGAGTGGGGCCGTCAGCTGGGTTTTCCCTGAAGTGTTGATACAGATGAATTGGTATTAGCAGCTACACATCACACCTTCTTGCTGCCTAATGTCACTGGGGAGATGATTTGCAGATCCACACCTGTTTAATTGGAAGAAAAAATTAATTTAGCTTTACTGTTAGAAGAAAAAAATTAGCCATTAGAACTAAAAGTATTTTTTTAAATAATAATAAAATAAAAATAAAAACCAGCAAAATGTATTAAAAAATAGAAGGTTTTATAACCAGTAAATTTATTAAAATGTATTAAATTTTAATCTAAGATTGTTTTACACCCAAATCCAGTGATATGTGTGTTTACAAGTAATTGTATTTTTTTTACTGAATCTTTCCATACTTCCATACAAATATCCAAATAAATTTTAATTCGATTTTATTTATTTAATTTTTATTATCTAATTTTGAAAGATATATTTATATGGATTTTTACATAAAATTTTAAAATGTCATCTGCATTTTAAGGATATCCTTGGCTATAGATTTTAAAAATGTAAAACTTCTTTTAAATACTTTCTGTAATTAATGCAAAAGACTTGTTTTGAAAGTGAAACATTTTTTAGGTCTTAACTAATTGTATATACCTCACCATTATTACTCTAAAGAGTGGTATTTAAAATATGTCTGCCTCACCTGCCATGCGGCCGTAGAGCCATCGTTATATTTTATCTGCACACGGGAGATGAGAACAGAGGAGACAGAGGGTCAGTGGTTAAAGGTGTGGTGCAGCTGTGCGGACTAAGTGGCAAAAAAAAAAAAAAAAAGAAACCTCTGCAGATCTGCAGCAGACCTTCCTGGTCTGTGTAATGGAGTCTGGTCTGTGATGTCTCTGCTGTTATCATTAATTCATGTCACCCAGGACAACAGCACAGGAGCCGAGGAGCCACTGTCACAGACACCGAGAAGGAGGCTGCTCCTGTGAGGGGATCAGGAGGCACAGAGGATGGAGGGAGGTAGGGAAGGAGGGGGAGATGGAGGGGAGAGTGGGGGGGAATGAAGCTAGGGCGTGGTCATGCAGAAAATACTCTGACAGACTGAAATCTACCAGACACATATTTGCTCAACTTTTGTCAGGATCATCTTTAAAGCTGCAGTCAGACACCCAGTGGTGATTTAGAGGAGTCACCATTTGCACGTAGAACTAACTCATCATCTTGATGACCTCTTACTGTGGTCATTTTTCATTTCAGTGTGTTAAGACATGTCAAATATTGTGTGACAAATTCACAGAATCTATCTCTTTTTTTTCATAGTTGTTGTTGCTGCGATTCAAATCAGTGATGTAACAGGATGAAACCTTTCTATTTGACTGAGGCTTTTGCAGAGATCAAATAGCCAGAGTTTAGTCAGCTAATGCAACAAAAAAGGTTTAAAAAGTTAAATCAGTGAATGGATGTGTTATTAGTGAATTTACTTGGTAATTGTTGTGCCTTTTTGCAGCTCCATCACTTTCAGAGAAAAGCAGGGTTGCCAGTGGTTACAGGTGATGCTGTTGTCAGAGGCTGCAGTAAACAAACAATTCTGTGTCAAGACAGGAATGGACAGACACACACACGCACGTGCATGCACACACATGTGAAAAAAAAATCATCTCTTCAGGGGTGTGGGGATGTGGGGGTCCTAATGATTCCATCTTCAACTGTAGTTCATCGTTGGCTCAATTTATTGCATTTGTCTGTGCTTTAGGGCTGGTTTTTCACCAAGCTCTTTTTCACTTTAACAGCGACGGCTGCTACCAACGACTACAGCTTTAGAGCAAAAAAAAGGAAAGGTTCAGGTTTATGTTCCAGCAGTCTTGTCTGCACCTCAGTGACACATCATTGGGGGCTGTAGTTCCTTTTCCTCCTTCTCCATCTGCTCCACGGAGCTGCCTCAGCCCCACAGGTCTTTGTTCCCAGACTTTTACAGTTGGCAAAGGGGGCATAAAATGCCTGACTTCCTTCAGCACAGAATGGTGTTCAGTTTCTTTCTATCTCTCTCTTCACTGATGTGATTTACAAGCTCAGCCATGTCACCCATGGCCTTAACTCTAACCTGACCTTTGACAGCACTTAGCCTCCACCTCGCCGCTCCCAGGAGAATGGAACGTCACGGTCAGACAGGGCCAATAAACATGGCTCCTGCAGGGGCAAATGTGTCCTGTAAAAAAGTCCAAAGACATAAAGTTGAGTTTATTTCAGACCTCCAGGACAAAGAGAGTTTGGTTTAAGAGGGCAAATTGTTTTCACATTTGTTGACGCACACAAAACTTTTTTTCCTCAAAAAAAAAAGTGTCTTAGTGGAACTGTGTGAACTTTAACACACACCAGTGTAATTGGAGAAACATATTCATCTTTGACTTGTCCCCCCCCCCCCCACCCCAGCCTCCCAGTTTTATTAACTGCTCATTGAAGTTTAATGTCAAACTTCAGGAGGATGATCATTATATCAGCCATTACTTATACAGTCATCACCAAAGGCTCCTGGTGCTGAAGGTAGACTATTTTAGTCACTTCATAAAGAAACCAGATCTGTTTAACTTCCAGAGAACATTAGTCAGAATGAAAAGTTCTCTCTCTGATCTGCCAGGATTATCAGAGGATGATCGGGCTGTGACGGACTCCTGGATAATTATCTTCAGCACTGTGTGTCTTTTCTCTCATATTCTCATCCTGATCATGTAATTGCAGTCTGTCAGGTCTGTGGAGGCTGACGGCACAGCTGTGGATATATCATTTTATTTGCCTCTCCATGCTGTGTGTACTGTTCTCTTTCCTGCTTCAAAACTCAGCCGTGGTCTGGAACATTCACAGATTAGTAGTGAAGGTGCAGAGGATACGACGGAGGTCATTGTCACAATCACAATGAAGCTGACTGACAAAACGGACTAAGAGATTCATTTGAACTTAGTTTACTTCCACAACTGAAGTCAAGACACACTAATGATTAAAATCCACCAACTCTATCAAGCTAAATTTGGAAATATATTTTTGTACATATATTTCTAAGCAAATTTCCACATTAATATTACATCATTTGGGTTTCAGCCACATTCAAAAAATGATTTCAATGTTGATTTATTTCAATTAATCACGATTATTTGTGATCCACAGCTACACTGTAAATGATCAGATAGTTTGTTTTAATTACCAGCATTTATATAAACCTAATTGAAAAGTTGCATAATACCAAACATAAATTAAGTTTTTTTTTTAATTTTAGGAATTGAAATTAACAATAATTCAAGTGCAAAATAATTTTCTAATAATATGATGTTTTCAACCTGTGCACAATGGGCTTTACAATTCAAACTGATTAGATGGGATACAACAACAAATGAAGCTTCTGATTCGGACTCTAAATAGTTGTTATAAAATGATTAACATGAGTTTAATGTCAATTCATGTGAACCCTATACAGGACATGGTTTCTATCACATGGGCCCACTGTGATACTTCTGAGTCTCTGGTCATTTGAGGACTACAGCGCCCTCCCACACACTCTCTGGGCCGATCCTTCTCCTCAGCCACTTCACATCAACATTTCATTTTTACATCAGCTTTCTGATTTAGTTTAGACTCCCCCCCCCCCCCCCCCCCCCCTTGTGGGTGCATTAGGCTTCCACACACAGTCAACCACAGCTGGTGATAATGCTCTGAGGTTAGACCTCACTGGTGCAAATGTACCCTGTAAAGTTACAGCCAATCAGGAGATGCATTCACACTGAAGGGTCTGTAACAGTCCGGTTGTGATAAGACATAAGAGAGCACTTCAGGACTAGATCCTTCCTGGACTTAGGCCTAAGGTTAAAACCTCAGATTTTCTTTTCAGTTCCGTTCAGGGATTTAAATAGCACATTTGTCCTGTTCTGTTTTCTCTGCAGTGACATGAACCATCAATCTTTAATACTATTTGTTGAAAGTATTGGGGACTTTTTGAATTATAATTTCTTCAGCTCTGCAGCTCGCAGTCGCTGTGGTTAAAAATATCACGGTAAAGTGATGAGGGGACAGAGGTGTCTGATGAAACGGTTCCTCAAGCCTCATGTCAAAGATGTTCTTTTGTGTTCTGTCTTTGATACTTGAGCTGTAAAATTATCTGACTGATGCCAAAAAAACTTCCGTGGATATAAATACATCAAGGAAACATTGATTTGATGCTGACCTCTGACACATGATCGTTGCAAAAACATTAGGTGTGCAATGCTGCCCTCTGCTGAAAGAGATAGAGAAAGAGGGCAATAAAATGTCGTCCGACACAGAACAAACAAATATTGACGTTTCTTTTAAAAAAAAAAATTAAAAACAAAAATCTAAATAACTAAAAACCCTCCATGCAGAAGCAACAATATTATAAAACAATGTTTGGTTGCAAAAGAGCAAGAACTTTACTAACTTTAAAGACAGTTATTAAAAAATTACAATCATCTTTTCTTCTTTAAATGAACTAAACTAGACTCTGCTCTGGTCATGATAGATTCTTTAGGCGACTGCAGCATATAGACGCCAGTGAAGGGCAGTGAGACACACCCTGTTGGCCACATCCAGAACCAGACTGTGTTTCTCTGCATCACTCAGACCTCCAGGCTCCACAGATGCACAAACAGTCAATCCATTCCCCCTGGCACCAAAACGGTCATTTTTAGTTGGAGAAAACAACAAAGCACTGCATTTGTTCATGTTGGTTTTCAGCGTTTACTGTAACTGTTTACGGGTTGATGAGAAAATGCTGTTGTTGTTGTTGTTGTTTATCACTTTAACGTCCATTTTGTCTGAATTAAAAATGACCTTTCAAAACACATTTGAACTGGTCATTGTGAAACACTAAAAATATGTTTCTCTGTATACAGTATGTGTGTGAACGTGTGTAGTCTCAGTCTCAGTGTGATCCCCCTCATCAGTGCTAGGCTATATTACCTTTAGCTTTATAATATTTACAATAAAAAAAACCAAGCTGGATCTCAAACCAGATGTAAAGACTTTCAGCAGAAGGGTTATCGTTGTAACGTGAGACAAGTGAGATCTGCACTGAATCTGACAGGAAATCTTTAACACTGACTCTTCCAGCAGCAACACTTCTCACTAAATGATGAAATGGAACAACTATAGTAGAGCACACATAGACACACACTAGTGCAACAGCACAGGAAGCATCTCCATGAGCATCACTGATTTCTGCCTGGGCACAGATGTGATTGGTGTGTGTTCGGATCGCAGGGAGGGAAGGCAGACGGTGAGACAGTAAGATGTCAACTCTTTTATGTCTCTCCTCTTTCAGTGTGATCCAGCACTTCACCAGCTGTGTCCTCATCATGCTGTCTTTACCTCAGTTTAACTCTGCACCTTCCATATCGCACGTTTCTGTATCACTGGAGCGCCCTCTAGTGAAAAATCTGTCACACTTTACTAACAGTGATTTGTTAACAGTGAAGTTTTCTTTAAACTATGAAGTTGTCGTTTGATGTGTTTTTATTTTCCTGATATTTAAAGTAAAGCTGATTAATATCCTCAAAACTTTTGAAATAATCCTTAAACGTATTGCTTCCCAACAAAACCGGAATTTGTAATTTATTTATTTTTGTTATTTTTCTTTCGTTATTTCTTATTCTTCTCTTATTTTTCATGACAATTTGAGTCATCAAAAAGTAGACAAAAGTGGTCAATAATGTAAAATACAAGTAAATTCTATTTAAAAAAAAACATATAGAAATATTAACAATAAATATGTAATTATATTTTGGTGTTGCTGCGTTGAACAAATCGTGGTGTCTTGACTGGGAATAAAATTTCAGCGCAAAATAAACTAATTACAACTAAAAGTTTTGCCCAGCAGAGGGCGACCGATAGCTTCCATCAAGGGTTCTCCAAAGACAGACAGCCTCAGCTGGCAGACGTATTGCACAAAGTCAATTATAGCTGCTTTATCACTATATACTTAACGACCTGTAGGTTCTATTCTCCACTGGACCACATGTCGTTTCCATTTTTTGCCCAAACTCTTCTAGTCCCCGTTTCTCTGTGCTTATAGGGATAATGAAAAAAATGATTTTGTGGTTTTAGGCTGTCACTTCTGTGGCTCAGTAAACTGTAGGCAGCTCCACACGTATAAGCACAAAAAAAAAAAAAAAAGGTAGTCATGACAGTCTTACTAAGCATTTTAGGTCTGAAAAGAGCAGAAGGAAAGAAGAGGAGAGGAGAGAGATTTTGTGGTTAGTTCCAGGTCTGTGGTTTAGGCCAAGAGAAGATGAGAGTGTGTGCTTTTCCTACTTTAAGCCCAATTTGAAACAAATACCGTTTTTAACCCAAAACGTTATTGGTGCGTTCAATGGTCTGCTTTTGGCCAATGATCGTGTTCCAGCCTGGCTCCTCTGCCCATCTCCTTTTTTTCATGTACAGTGAAAAAAGCCACAGGAAAAAAATCTGCTCCTGTACCAGTGCCACCTCTTCTGTGAAGCCCTAGATTTATCCAATCAAACTCTGCTCTCTGAGCTCACTTCAAATAACCACCACCCCCGTGACTCCAGCTCTGCTCTAAAAGGAGCCCCAGTCCTACCTCTGACCACACTGCAGTATCACCGTGAACATGCTTATTATTTCATAGGCTGTGATCTGCCAGCACATGTAAAGGTATAATATTAAAGTGTGAGTGGTTTTCAGGGCACACGTGATCTTTTGGTAGACACCAGCCCTGATTGGGAGCCTGGTGTTCAAGATGAAGATGTGAAAATCAGTCACGTGGTTCTAGCTTCATCAGGTCTGCTGGTGTTTGGCATGAAGCTGATTTTTTTTCTTTTTTCTTTTTAGTTGGATCACTCAAAAAAAAGTGTTCATTTGAATTTGATTAAAGTTTATTAATCAGCACCTTCTTGGTGAGTGGAAATTAAAGTCCAGGATAGATCGTCATAAAAAAAATATTAAATCACAACATAACCAATACTTAGCGTCAGAATTAGACTAGATAGATGGATAGATGAATGACTATGAACACATTAAGAAACATTAAAATAAATGAAATTAACTTCCGCACAGTTGATATTTTACAGAGTTTGTTCTTCTCTGGGGCTTGTGTTAGAGCAAAGGGATGGAGGACGAGGAGGAGGAGGTGGTGGTGGTTTGGGGGGGGGGGCTGATGCTCATGGCAGGTTACTTGCCTGGATTTGG